TTTGTCTTTAAAAAAATAATAAATTAGGAATAGATTAATTATATGTTTATTTATAATTCAAATTGTCTTGAAATTTTAGTAATTATTTCTATAAACAAAACATTGGGTCATTACAAATAAGTTGTAGATTAAATAAGTTAATTTTTATGATACCTTATGTAATGTTTTTGTTATTTAGATTTGTCCACTAGTTAAACCAAGGTAATATCTATATTAAAATAGGCCTTTAAAAAACTTATAATTTAATACACATTTTAGAAAGAAAAAATGAAAAAATTTCAAACTAAGTACAAAAGTTTAAGTATTATGTCATATATCTTGGTGTTACAAATACTCTATGTGTTTTAGAATACAATAAATAATGTATTTTATGAATTTATAATTTTTTTAAAAATATGTATGGTACAGAGAAAATATTTTCAAATATTAATAATTATTATATTTTTTATATGAAAAAATTAAAAATAGAAGGATATATGCTAAGATAAGGAAATATCAATTTTACACAATTTTAATAAATCTTTTAAAATAAAAAATTAAAATGATTTTCTAAAAATTGAAACTCAAAATAAATGGAATTTTAAAAAAAGCTTTGGCTTGTATGAGGTAGTATGGTTTTTTTCATAATAATATCTAATAAAAAGCATTCCAAGTTGCATTCACTTATTAAAAAAAGTTATTTTTTTTATGGAGATAAAATTAATAAGTTTTATATTAGATGTAATTTTATTAATGATGAAAAAATAGAATTATTTAATGTATTTAGTTCTTATTTTTAAGGTTATTTTGGTAAAGAAGATTCATTATAAATTTTATGATCAGATTTCAGTGCTATTAAGGATTCAATTTAAGAATGACTTCATCACTTAGAGCGTATGCAAAGTCCAGTGATAATTTACATTAATTTTAGAAATCTTAAATATTTAATTTTAGTATGTATCTTGAATCAATCAATAATTTGTTAAGATATGTATTAGTTACACTTTGTATTCAATACTAATATTATCTCAAGAAAGGAAAAGGATTATTAAATAGCCTATTTAGATGTTTCTCACTTAAGCCAATGTATGTATGTATACATACATATAATTTTAATTCTATGTTTCTTTATAAATTATATTCAAAGAAATCATCAAAATTCTAATTCTTAAATTTAAAGATAGTATTTGGAAAAAAAAAGTTAGAAATTTCTTTTTCAAAATTTAAATTGATTGTATGATGCATAAAGTCAAGAACATCTACATGCCTTTTAGATACAACATAATCTCCCATAAACAAGAAATTATAGAAATAATAATAATAATAATAATAAATCATAATTTAAGATGTTTTTGGTGACATTAAATATAAATTTGTATAGAAATTTATATATTATCTAATAAAATCTTCTCTTAAAAAAGGATTTTATAACTCTAAGTTTATAATTTTTTTCAACTATTGTATATTCTAAAGTAACTATAATCATTTGTTATAATGGATTTTATTGCAAATATACCAACTTTAGATTCTTAAAACTCTATTTTAACAATATGAAAAACAATATATTCTTTTTTTCAACATTTATACAAAATACAAGACAAAAAGAATATATTGTCTTGTATAAATATTCTTATGCATGAAAAAATATTGTAGGTTTTTTTTTTTTTTTTTTTTTTTTTTTTTTTTTAACAACATCAATTAATTCTATTACCTATTAACTAAAATTTTATATATTTTAGGATCTTAATGAATATCAAAAGTATTAGAGAATGTTGTCGAAAATAATTTTAAAAGAAATATAAGAAAATAATAAAATAAAAGAAAAAATAAAAAAATACCTCCAATTTTTTATCCTCAAAGTGATAATCAAATCAAACATGTAAACAAAGAATTAGAGCAATATTTTCAATATGCCATTTATTATTATGTAGTATTCTTTTTTAAAGATTACTATTTTGTATAGTAATTTTTTTTCTGTTTTTAGTTTAAATTAGATTAATAATAAATTAAATATTTAACAAAAATATTAGTAGATAGTTTATCAAAGCTTAATATAAAAATAAAGATGTAGCTAAAAAAATATCAGCTATAACAAAAAATGATGTAGATATTTTTTTCAAAATAATTATTTCTATTAAAATCTTTCAATAAAATATATTTTCTTTTTATCACATCAAGACCAATTCATCTCATCAAAAATTAGATTAGTTGAAGTATAGAAATTTTATCTTTAGAAAAATAAAACTATCTAGTTGTTTATTAACTTAAAATCTTAAGAACTAATAAAGTTATATAATACTTTTTAATTATTTTTTAATAAAACTTTTGAAATAATCAACATGCCAAAAAAGATGCAATTACCGACACCTTATAATTTAATAAATAAGAATCAAGAGTGTAAAATAGAAGATGTTTAGATTTAAAGTAGTATCAAAACAAAGTAGAATATCTTATGTAATAGCTCAAAATTGATATTAGTAAACACACACAAAAATAATTTAAGAATCTTTCTAAAGCATTGCTTTATTTTTAGTTTCTTTTATTTTTTCTATCAATAACATCAATCCAAATTAAGAACCAATATTGACAACAATTACAAGTTGAAACAAAGCAAATTGATACATAAATAACTAAAACATGTATAAATATTTAGAAATAGATAAGATAGATAGTAACTTCTTTAACAAACATCAAAGAAGTTTATTAGGTGTAGATTGGTCCTATGTGTGCGCCATATTGTTACAATAACTTTTAAAAGAAATTGTACAAAAATCCTGTATGTTAAGCAAATAGATTTTAAGACTTATGGGTCTTTAAGGAGTTTTAACATAGCATTCTTACTAGATAACAAAGATTGAGGCAAAATTGAAATAATATAAAATTAGAAAGATAACCTTTTAAGTAAAAATAAAATTATATTGGTTTTAAGATCAATAAAATAGTATTAAATACATGATAATAGATTAAATTTATTAAAAAATAACACTTTAATCAACCAATAAACTATTATGGATATACAAAATGGTTGCACGAGAAAGTCTCTATCAAGTAGTTTGTTATAGATCTTTAAGAAATGAATATAATTATACCAAATCTTGTTTTTTGCCGTCCAAAGATGTTTTAAACAAACAATATTTTAATTACACATATATCATCAAAATTCGATTGCCAATTCTTTGAATGAGTAAAATTAGGTCCAAAAACTGCACTATTATATTATATTATACTATACCATTTATGAAATAAAAAATTGGAATTAACATTTTAAATTTAAATATTAGATTTCTGACCATTTTATTAGAAATTAATTTTATTTCTTTTACTGTTAGTTTGTTATTATTCAAATATTAATAATTGTTAAATCAAATGAAAATCCATAAAATACTATATTTCTATTTCTGTTAAAATTTAAATGATATCAAATTATTTAATTTGTATATTAATATAAAACAACAATATTCTAAATAAAAGATATTTATAATATAATATTGTAACATTATATTTAATACTATAAAACGTTTTATTTGGTTTTACTTCTACAATTTTTACTTAATATTTATAAATTATAAAATGTAACATCATGTTTTGTTATTGTTTGTTATATTTGATGTAACATATTAAAGAAATACATTCAATAAAAATAAAGACAAAAACACATTATTATGACAAAAGACTTATTTTATCAAGGTGGAGTATAACTGAAATATTTAATTATTTGAAGGATTTAATAATATATAATTTGTTAGAAATATTCTTTTTCAACATCAAATAGTTTGTATTTTAATATTATTATTCATGCTATTTTATTAAATTGCATAATTGTTTTATTGATTTTAGTTTTAAAGATGTTGAATCAATTATGATAAAGCATATTAGTTTTTAAAATTCAAATAATTTGATTATTAGTTTAACAATTGAATACTAAAAACTGAATCAGTAAAAGTATTAAACCCTTCAATAAAATAAATCGTTTGTGTAACTAAAAACACTTAAATATGAAAATTTTCATATTGTATTTAAAAATATTATCATGTAATTTATGTATTAAGCAATAAAAAAATCACTAAGAAATAAGTTTGGACATTTAATTCTTGTAATCTTATCTATATCAATGAATTGATGGAACTTATAAATATAGGAAAACAACTTTTACACATTATAAAAAATAAAATAATATTCTATCTATTTAACATTTGTTCTTAGGGTTATTAATAAAGATTTCTTTCCCAATGAATTGATGAATGTTTAGATATTCTATAATTTAATAGATTTTAATTTAAAAAATTTAATACTAAAGTTTATCAAATTAGCCACTATATTAGTTGTTTTCTAAGCAATGCTTAGGTTATATTTCTTTTGTGTTAAACATATTTTTTTATCTGCAATAATTACATTTAAATCAATTGTTAAATAATTTGTGTGTCAAAGTTTTATTTATTTTATCTTATATTATTTTTTAAAATTTGAACCACATAAAGCTAACACTGCTCAAACACATATTGACATAGTCTTAACGGTTTATACTGTTGAACACGTGTTGATAAACATAGTATTGAGTATGTAACAATTACATTCATATAAATCAATTCGAACATTAAATGATTTACAAATGTTCAGTTTACTAGCCACTTAAGTTGGATATTATAAAAGAACGACAACCAAGTTGTAAAAAAAAAAAAAAAAAAAAAAAAAAAAAACTGGGATAGAATGATTTAAAAGTCAATGTTCACAATTGATGACAAATATACAAAATTGGTTAATGAGGGTAAGCTGTGAAGAATGTGAATTAATTTCTAATTAGTAGCTGTTTCAATAAATATTCCTTACTGAACATTATAGATTTCACTTTCAAGTTGTGTACCTGAAAATACACTTCAATTGATATCTATTGAGTTGGTACAAAAGCATTTTAGTAATGCAACAATAGCTTGGTGCAACAATAGCTTGGTGCAACAATAGCTTGGTGCAACAATGCACAACAATAAATTTATTTCTACAAAATACTGCTAAACGATTTGATATAAATTCAATGACGACATTAAAAATTAAATTGAGAAAATATAGGCTACATGAATACAACAGCAGAGACAGAAAACTTTAAATAAGCAGAACCACGCATCATCAGAACATTCAAGCACACAAAACAATTAGCTGTCAGATGTTCCGATCAACACAACCGACACTATCTATATGCATTAAAAAAAAGCCTCTACTCTCCAGAGTGGACTGGGTCTCTAATTACATATAGAAAAAAATGAAAATTATTCTACGTAGCCCTCCAAACACTGGCACAAGTCACATGGCTTTCACAACAGCATAATTCTACATGGCTTCAGAAAGCACAAGCTGGGCTCTAACATCGAGCCTTGGACACTCCAAACCGCTACCGATGTATTGAACTGCAACTATGTGTCACCTGTGCATGTTGAAGGCACATTTCAGGGAACCGTTCACATAGCTGAATGCTCCACAACAGCTTCGTTGCTGGAGGGCAACTTGTCCTTACTGGCGGAATCAGCAGTAATAGACAACACATTGTTGCGAGGCTTGACAAGTGCATCCTCCATCACTCCATTCACATGTATAGGACTGGAGTCGAGAACGGGTTTCCTCCAAACCTCATGGAAAGGCCCCAGATCCATCGAGCTTGCATACCTGGGCTCAAAAGTTTGCATCTCCAATCCCTCCATATTCATGGTTCCATGAAAGTAATCCCACTTCTTCGGTAAGTCAGCTGCGAAAGGAACGTTCAATTGCTGATCAAGCTCTAATTGAGGACTTCGCACGAAATCCACTATTATGAGTGCACCATTTCCAGGTGTCAGGGATAGGCTACCATCACCATTCAAATGGGAAGCAATAGCTTCTAAGCTGTGTCCGCGAAGCATGGCTGCTCTGTGAAGGGCTCGCTGCTTACAGTCTTGCCTCCTACACACAATAGGTCACACAATTTATCATGAATGGAAATTTTTCAAAACACTAACTGATCTGGCATGGGAAAATTAGCATGCAAGCTATACTCTTCAGTTCATCTATTGATGGTCCATGGAAATTCAAAAGTGTTACATTCAAGAAGCTGTCATTAATTATGATAAAGCCCAAGGAAGAAGAATCACCCAGCCTCGTTCACTACCCAAACAGAATCATTCCGTGTCAAGACTGGAACTGACCAAAACATGAAGTTAGCCACCATAGGGTTCACTTCCATCTCCCTTGGAGTCCGTAATGTGTTAATATCAACCCGACCAAAGGGTAACTTCTGCACTCCTTCGGTGACTGTTCCTTGTTCAGAGGTGTCAGTGGAAGGGATTGGGAGAGTGTCGCAAGCTTCACGGTTCCTACAAACAACAGTAGCCTTCTTCCAAAGCCTGAATTTGTATGCAAACAATGTCTTGAATATGAATTTATTCTCTTTCGCAAAGTTGCACTGCCAGAAAGGGACAATTCAGGTTCATCAATACCAACAAAAGCGCATACTGGTGACTTCTCAAACAATGCGTACCTTCCACAAGATGCACAATCCCTTGAAATAAATTCAAAAGGCCGCCCATGTGCAGACATTTTCTCAGCTACATCTTGCATAACAACTTAAAGTATATATATATATATATATATATATATATATATATATATATATAGTACCGTCAATGAACATTCCGTGTCAATAGGTATTAGAAAGACGGAACGTTCATTGAAGATAATTTTTTATTTTTACCGTCGCAAGCAATACAAGTACGTTAATATACTTGCGACATAATTCTTTATTAAAAAGTCTCGTGAGTAACGACTAAAAGATCCCAACCTCAACAATTTCAGTCATAATCAAGAGTGAGTCGAACTTACTTCTTCTTCCAAATTATAGTGAGCTGCGTTTTCACAGACTTCAGCCACTGCTTTCTTAGTCAGTTTTTTCAACCCATGAATCTTCCATCGCAAGCAGTCTGACGAAAGAACATCAATTCATAATTTTCAATTTTCTAGAGCAAAGACATTTTAACTTAAGAGTTTCAAGCACACAGTCGGATACATTTCTTGCACGAGTTGTATAACCACTGCTTCATTGGCAAATTAGAACAGAAATTGGAAGCCTAAAAAGAACTAAATCACGTTGCTGTACTATTTAAGAATTACCTCTGCAAGGATTTGGCTCTCCACCAAACGCTTTAGAGAACATGCTAATGAGCTTGTGTGAAAAAGTTTGCGAAGCCTCTTCATTCAATTTTGCATTAACAGCTTGATAAACAATACGCGCTAACCTGCGAGCCTATAACTCCACATACAACCATTACACATAAGAACTAGTAGACAAAACATAATAGAAACATACATTACGCAGGAGGATGAATAGTAAAGCAGAAACCCGTTTAAGTCAACGTCTACTTGGTTTGAGCATGCAGCACACCTTTTTCAGACTCATGATCAAGGCCAACTCACTCGTGGACATGACCAAGTTTTTGCTCTGACACCTGGAAGACATCACGCAAGCAGCAACACCTTCTGGGTTGATAGCTGCCCTTACTGGATTTAGGCCTAAAACTCGGAAGGCCATAAGAATTCCACTCCTAGAATGGCTGAGGAAGACATCACACTGGGAAAAAAACAATAAACAACATCAACCACTGACTTTCGGATAGAGTATTCGGCGAATAACAAAGAAATACTTCTGAAATGTTCCACGCAAGCCAGCCTTTTCTCTGATCTTGTTAAGGCAATCAGAGCAAAAATAACACCAAATTGTAGAAATTTTTCGTTGCATCTCATCACTTCACAGAACCTCAACAGTAAGCCATTAGCATGTGGCGACGCATGACCATCCTGAAGTTCAAAGCCATCCTCAAACTCAGAGCAGCAGACGGAATCGAAAACATAAAGGAAGCCTTGAAGACGCTCGGTTACGTACGAATTCCTGTTCACATGAAGACATTGAACTACTGTCGCATACACTGCTTGCGATTCTACGCTTCATGGAATCTCCCATGAAATTCTTCAAGTTTCTCTTGATCATATCTACACAAATACAAGGATAAATTACTCAACCGTGAAGAGTAATATGCTTTATCATTTCACTGTAGACAGTTTTTGGTGAATGGGAACCGTGGAGATCAAATAAGGAAGCAAATTTTGTAACCTTACATTTCTAAAATTCGGTTAATTGTACAACGGTTTTAAAACCACAAGGGATGATGTAAATAGGTAAAAGAGAGACCAAACGAAGAGAAGTAAAAGAGTAAGCATTCGAGAAAACGGTAGAACAGTGATGTCAAAAACTAACGTTTCATTCGCGAGGCAAAAGATGCAAGGTATCACTAAAACAATCAAACGCATCATGAGATTTCGATGTTGAAGTGTTAGGTACGCGCGATCACCTGGCTGATCGCCGGAGTCGTCAATGCCATTAGCGGTTGCAACAATCTCCTCTGAAACAGCTGCAAAAATGTTAGCAAGCTTCTCCCGCAAAGAGCATGAAAGACTGGGGCTTAAAATCTTTTGGAGTGCGTGCATATCCAAAGGTTCGGTCGCAGATTCAACAGTAGGGGGCTTCCTTCCGCCAGCTCCAGCGCTCCAAATTCTCTAAAATCCAGTAGAAGTTCACAAGACGAATCAGAATAAGGAAATTAATTCATGTCTCAATTGCTATCTTAAAACCACAAGATATGAGTTATGTAAGGCCGAGAAGAATTCAATAATTGCAATATGTCTCCAAAATTACGTTTCCACGAAACAGCATGGAAAAGGTCTAAAAATAATAGTGAGCTTGTTCTTGAAACGAGGGCTAAACTTTAAAAAAATGCACAACTAAATAATTCCTATCCATTGCACTTACTAGTGAGAACCTGCATTGTGTTTAACAACATGTAGATGTATGCTGCAGATGAACATTGAAATTACTTACATTAACGTGAGCCATGTCGGAAAAGAAGGATGGAATTCCAGAAAACCACCGGCCAATCTTGCCGAGTAAACTCCATGCAAATGAAGGACGTAGCCAATGATGGTGCTCCGTATCCTTTTCAAACCTGTGTTCATAGCCGTGCTCATGGTGGCGGAAGTGACGGTGCTCCACATCCTTCTCAAACCCGTGCTCATTGTGGCGGTGGTGGTGGTGATGATGATCACGACCATGCCCAAACATATGCGACCACCACAAACCTAATTTAGCACCCATTTTGCACTTCTTGTGCTCATGGCCTTCTCTTCGTACCCCGAACATCTGGAAGGGTTTGAACAGATTAAAACTCCACTGCATTTTGTTACCATCCACATGCTCCTCATCGCCATGGCCACGGGCAGCGATCCCATCCTCTTGGGACACCACCCGCACAGTCCTAGGGAAATTCCTGTGCACCGCCACAAACTCCCCTGCGGACTTCGGCTGCTCAGCCATAACACCCACCAAGCACACCACGGCTACAACCGCCGCGACGCGCAGCCAAGTCGCCATGTCTCCCCTCATCACTTCAAAACCTCCCCAATTCCCAACACAAACCGTCAAACCTCTCCTAAGGAAATTTTCAAAAGCATCACCAAAACGTCCCGTCCAGGAACCACAAGGGTATCCTATCCCATACAGAAAAACGCTACACGTCTAAGCAAGCATAGAAGCGGGAATTCGGATTCTAGAAAGGCTCTAAAAGCATGCCGCTGGCCGGGACTAAATAAATAAAACTCTCAGCAAACGAGGACTGCAGTGGGACCGGTTGTGGCGACCGAAGACGATGACCGGACCTTCCGGTCACCCACGACGTGTTTCTGTTGCAGTTGGACCGAGTGCGCGGGGCTTGTTGATTGTGAAAGAAACCCCTGCAGTTATCTAAACTCTGTCGTTTTGGATGAAATTTCATGTTAACTCAACGAATGTTAACTCTTTCATTTTAAATTTTAGCTCAAACCAGCTTCGCACCGCCTTTGCTCCTTCTCATTGCGCGCCTCCTATCTTGCTGACGTCGCCATTTCCAGTTCAAAGGTTTTTGAAAACAAAACAGGGCGTGCTCCGAAGCCTCGAATAATAATCACTCGAAAGACTGGAAAATAATTTTCCTCTCTGGTCGCTTGCGTTGTGGCTTTGTCTACCTGTTCTGCACCTGCTGATGCTGTTGCTGTGCACAGTACATAGCGACTGATTTATGCGCGTTGTGGAATTCGATTGCGTTGAAGAATGGAGGACTTCCACCTCACCGGCCTCAGAAGTAATTTGAGAGAAAATGAAGTTATTAGATAAAAGAGTTTTAGAGATGATGCTGTCATTGCGCTTCTGATTTATTTTAGTCAGGGTGTAAGTAGCTGTGATGTCAAGTGTGTAGGTCAGAGAGACTATTTCTTAACTGTGTTTCCAGGGATCAGTGATGGATTTGTTGTTTGTACTTATTAGTGATTAATTCTAAACTCTGACAGGCCCGAACGCCTCGCCGTGGACATTTAACTCGCTGTAGCATCTTGATCTTTTTACCTATTATAATCGTTTATTCTATTCGATCATAATTTATGGCTTCCTTAACTTCTTTCACCAGTAAAGAACATGTTTCCAAGTTTCAGGTTTTTAAGTGTCCACAAATTTTCAGTTGTATAAGTTATGAAGTTGAGTTGATCATATGTTCTGGAATTCGTGGCTTATTTCCTACCTATAAGTAACTGTTAAAACCATCTTCGCTGTGAAGATGCATTCGAGAAAAACTGTGCAGAAGTGCAGAGAACTATGCAGGAGCTGCAGGATGAGCGTTTGAAGAGGGAGACGTGGATCTTATTTTTTATTTTTGTTCTTCTTCTCGTTGTTAGCAATCAACTCAGCCGCGTATTTATCGTTATCGTTATCGATGATGGTCCTCACATTCTCTTCTTCTTCCTTGATCAGTTTTTTCGTCAAACATGCATAAGTTTCTTTAAGGATGTGAATCGTACAACAGCTTCAGAATACCTCTTAACGTGGCAAGTGGTTTGTTTCACCTCTAAGTCAATGTGATGAGGAGGGTTACAAAAATGATTACCACGCCTATTTTCCCGAGATCACGCCATAAATGCTCCCCGTCCGAGAGCTTGGTATATCTGTGCATCTACAGAAGACGGTGTTGAGGAGAAAAGAAGGCAGGAGACGCAAGCACCATAGGTGTTGCCTGAAATTCACAGTGAGGGGCTTGATTTCACCTGGATTGAGAATGGAATAGTACTATGCGGGGTCAGGCACTCTAGTGTAAGCATCCTACTAGCAGAGAAATGCCGGTTTCATTCAGGGCTCGAATAGAAGATTAGAGGCTCTGCTTGAGCACCATCTTGGTTGTTTCGATTCAAACTTTAGGAGGCAAGAAGCAGAGACGTATGCTTGGATTATGGCTGTGGCTGGAATGCAACGCAAATTTTCATGTCAATTTGACTCACTTCGTGAAGCTACGATTTGCAATTAATAATTGAAAGTTACACTTACCCACTCATATCTTTCTCCAGTGGCGCTAGAAATCGATTAGGGTACTCCACCCACAACACTCTGGTACCGATGTCTCCTCGAGCCTTCGTTTCATACCTGCTCACACGTATAGCAGTAGCTAACTACTTTTGAATTCTCAGATTTTCGATTTCGATTCTCTTAGCACTGTTCATATTCTAAATCACCAACTTAAGCATGAGAATTAATGTAGCAGGCTTTCATCTGACTTCAGAACGATTTTAAACTTTGAGAAAAACATAGCACCGCACAAGTTGCGCTTGACATGATGCGTATTCACAATTCTGTATGAACATTTGTGCTCTGGGAATTTACGAGATACCGAGCATTACTTTACCCCTAGCACCGTGACGATCACGCCAAGAGATGTCTTCAAAAGTTCTCTAGCCTGCATTTACGTCCAGCAAGTTCTTTAGATAATCTTGAGTTGATTTTCTTAAGGTAGCGCGGAACCACAATCCAGGTAAATATGTCGTCTGGTTGCCAATCGCTTAGTTTAAGGTGATGTACAAAGACAAAAAAGTTTGAAAGTTTGCTGTATCACTATTTTCTTTCCCTCTATTTCTTTTTTCTTTTTTTCTTTTTTGTAAGTGTACAAATTGAGGTGGCACCTAAAAATTATAGAAGAAGCTAAACCGTTCAGTTTCTGCTTTTGTCTAAGATTCTCAGAAAATTTGCTACAAGCATGCCTAACCACATATGCAGCTGAGACAGCGGAGTACTGACGAATCTGGAGACCCAGACAAAGATCAACTGCCGGACTTCGTTCCAAGGACACATTCTGAACTCAAAAATGCCTGGCAATATGTTCTGAGAGAATGTCTTCAGAAAATAAGACGCTAGCAAACGCTACCACCTTCAGGTTATTGAAAGGTTTTATACCACCATCATCCGTCCAAAATGGTGGAGGCTTTGGAGCCTTTTGGGGCATCGTTACTTTAACCGCTAAGGTTCTTAGGATAATGAGATTGGGTTTTCTATTCTGTCTATCCTTCTGGTGTCACAATTTGTAGCAGAAAATGTTGTTTGGTCTACGTATTTTCAACTTCGTGTTGATTCATTACCAACCACCGCAGCCCTCTTTTACTCTTCACGTATCATTTCGATTACGCAGCTGGCTGAATCATCTCATTCTCGAGATTACAAAGTTGTGAAGAAAACGAAGTGCTGAATTGAGCAGTTGAATTACTGTCAAAGCGTTTGGCTCACAAAAGATGCCCTCATCTCTGCACTGTCTTGTTGTTGAACTTGCTACAATGAACGACTGTGGCAATTCTGTAGCTTGTTTAGGCATCCTCAGTGTATGGGATGCTTAGGCACGCTTCTTGTTTCCTATTAGGAGGTTTTTGAAGTCTTCCGTGGTTGTTGAAGTCACATTCTTCGTTATAGAAAACTGTGAATCCTCTGGTTCTTGTACTTTTTCCTTCGTCTGTTAAGATCTAGATCTCTTTCGGCTTGAAAATTTGCAACTTCCAGTTTACGGTTACAGATCGCATCACCTTCTGTCTTAAGCAGCCGATTAGTGGCAGCTTACACAGCTGGTAAGTTACTACCTAGAACCAAAAAATTTGCAAAAAAGACAGAAATGTTAGATGTAATGTTTTTAAGTTGTTTTAGGCTAAGCTTCATAAACTTTATGAAAACGTTTCAATACTGTGAGATGGCAGAATCACTAGATATGCTGCGGTTGAAGTTCTATTTCCCTCTGAAAAATGTCTAATGTCTTACAAAAAATATTGAAATATTCTTCTTCACTGAAAATACAACCTTTACACACATTCACAGAACAGGCATTGACCGAATTTCAAGAAACTGTCACCTTATTGTGATGACGATTTGGTGCAAGTCAACTCAGCATCCACGAATGAACTCGTGTTCTAGGTTAAGAGGCACCAGACTGATCATTGGTGATGTGCGGAGTGCTGCTTTTCTGTGAGCAGTTTCCACCATTGGCGAACCATCTTCACTTAAAGGTCAAAGAATAGAGGCCAAAAGTTACGCTGATGGTTGTGATACGAATCAAAAGCATTGGATTGCTGTACCAATGCTATAAGCACTGTATTCAACTTTAATTTTGAATCTTCCGTTCAAAATCTCTTGTTTGTTTGAAGTCTTTCTGAAGTCTTTTGCATTGTCTTCTGGCTACAATAAGCTTGAGAGGAACTTAGAACTTGGAACAGAGAACGCAGCACATACAGCATCTACTCGATAGCAATAACGGCATCCTCTCAAGATTCAAAATTAAAACTACACCGCAATCAAAACCTGAACTTCGAATGGTCTTCTCTGAACAAGTCTGATATTTTAGCTTGAAATAGTTCTAATCCATCTTCTCGATTTAAAATCTATCAACAGAGGTCGATTGGCGATATGAACCACCCTCATACGGATTGGCCATATCAACCATCGTCTGAGGCTGGAACAACATAACCAAAGTTACAGAACAAATAATCACGATTGTTCAGTAAGATGTGTGAAGTTCATTCTATGTGAACTTCACAAATAAGTTCCCAATTCAGTTTGAAGTTTGCATCCACCTCTGTTAGTGAAGCAATTTTGCGAAACCATCGCACTGGCCTGTCAGTGACGCACTATGTGCTGCACTCTTTTTATCCAAGTGTTCATTAGAACCTTCAACGGAGGAGCTGCTGTACATACATTTAGTGAAGATTTTTGGTCAATCACCTTCCGTTAACCTTGAAGATGCACCAATTTTCGGCATTCGCCAGGGGTCAGAAAGGTTAGCAACATAGATGCAACTGTCATTGCAACTGGTAAGTTCATTAAGCATCTGAGTTCATTTCAACCTCACAGAAACAATTTGGAGACTATCGAATACTAAAATGAGGGCACTGTTCAAAGACGGTCGGAATTTGTGTTGTGAAAAGCGCGGAAATATTAGCGATTGAACACACAACTGATAAAGATGTGAGGAAATATACGTTTCGTTACATGTATTTTCTAAACATTACATTGTTATCTCCTCTCTTGTACAAAGAAGTAGATGTATCGAAGGGGTATGTCCGTCGGTACACATAGTAGTATACTACTTAGACGTAAGTATTTCTAGGAAAATGCTGACCTGCTCAGGTACTTAAAGAGAGTTTGCGCTTCCTAATTTATAATGCGTCTACCTCCTCAACGATTTTACTGTAGCTTTCTGAATGTTCCAGCTTCATACATGATGCTAAGCTGGAGATCCGTGTAGCTATCCAATTCAGATGGTCGCCGCAGGAAACTCTTCAGCGACTCGAGATCTTAGGCATTCCTTGTTTCTTTGCAAGGAACCCTATCTACGATAATCTTGAGGCTAGGATTCTCTCAGCACCACACATGAGAGCACGTTCAAGGCATAGCGAGAAATGAAGTAATATTTGAAAGCAACGCTTACTTCACCTCATCAGCCTTGTTCACGTTCTTTCACTCCGCTCTTGACAGTATCAAAAACTGCTCCGCCTCCTCGCCTCCATGAAATGCTCCTTCAAATCGTAGCCGTCAAATAAGATGTTAAGATTATTGCGAGTTGCGAATCTCTGTCCATTCCTTTATTTCTGCGGAACTCATCTGTCCACATGTTCTAAGCTGGTCAAGCACATCCACCACCATATTTGGACTTTTCTGCAGATTTCACCATAACGAAAGAAAACTGTTCTGATAAAAAGGAAGAACACGAGATATCCCAGCAAATCCCGCGTTCTCCATGCTGGTGGCAATCAATATTGGAATTCAAACCACACACCTCTCCATATTGTAGAAAAATATACTATGCTTCGTATCCGGAACGCATCGCGCATCTAGTGCGAACCGATCCAAGGGAATCGACACTTCCACATGGCTCCTCATTCTGCGAGAGATCCAGCCGAAGAGGATGAGCCGCCGAAGCAATAAAATGAGCACGACCGTGTGGATGCAAATCATCTTTCGTGGGAAGAGATAACGAACTTCGGGGTATAATACAGAGTAACGGAGTATTAAAATTAGTGTGGAATATAAATCTGGTTAAATGGTTAGAGTACTCCCCGCTCCCATCCCAAGAACCGACATCGCACGCAACGTTCCAGAGTTCGAACGCTGGTTCCCACACTGAGATCTCCTGTCGTGGTGGGAGCCCCCTTATTCTACACTCTGCTCCTCTCGCACGTTCCCACATTGTGGTGCGCTCAACCTAATTAAAAACATGGAGTGCCCATCGTGTTCCCGTGGTGTTCCCGCAGAATGAGGACGGAAAGCCCTCTGTTCGCGTTCACACTAATATGTATATGTAGAACTTGATCCCATACCAACCCATGTTCCCCATGTTCCACCTTTCTTGTTTTGGGTCCCTCCATTATACCTCATTAAGGGTCATTTTCATACCTTTTATTCCTTTTCCTCCTCTTTTGGACACTTTTGTGTGTTGTGATGCAAAAGTGATAAAGTATCAAAATAGGCTACCACAAATGGTTCTCTTGTGGTTTTTAACAACCACACTAAACAATTGTTGATGATCCAACTTTTATAGCATAAAGCATTGCCTTTAAAAAGGCATTCTAAATATGTAACATGTAATTAACACGATTTTCCATTTTATTATTGTAATTTTAGCATTCTTAAGTACACTTCCAATAATGTTATGCTTCTATCACCTTTACATTCTTGATATTGTTGAATTCTAAAACATTTGAGTAGCATCTTATTTCTATAATATCAATAATAGTCTTGTATAATTATTATACTATTCTTAAGTATATAAGAATATTTCTTACTAGTATAAGAATATATCAACATCACTTATTTAGACCATTGTTTCATTATCATATTACTTTGGATAGTATTGTTGATACTGTAGTTAAGTTACTAATAATAATTATTATTATTAATATTATATGATATGTATATTATATTTATGAATCATAAGTTGATATCTTTAGAAATTTTAAATATTATCTTATTGTATATAAATATATGATTATTTATTGAAGATAAAAAAATTAAATATCAAAAAAATATATTTATTATTTATGTTTGAACAATTATAAATATTATTTTAATTTCTTTGTATATAAAAATAATATTTTTAATAAAATAATTTGTCTAAAAGAACTAATTATTGACATTTCAAAACTATGAATACAACATATAATCAAAAATCTTTTTAATGCTTCAAAAGTAAATTATATGGAAGTAATGAAAAATAAATAAAGAATAATAGTAAAATCAATTTTTAATAAAAATAGCCAATCTTACCATTTTTATATAGCAAAAAATAAAAATAAATTATAAATATTCAAAAATATATTTTTAATTCACTTCAAAATATAAAATTATCTTATTTATGAAATAAATTTACATCAAAAAAATTATATTTATTAACAAATAACAAAGGTAAATCAACTTCTATTAGAATTATCAAAATCTCATCCTAAGAAAATACAACAATATTCAAATAAATAAAGAGCGATCTTTAACTTTCATGAGTCTTGCTATTCTTTATGTCGATTTTGATGAATATCATCAATAAAAAGCTTCAATTTTCTTTGCTGCATTTGTAAGATTCTTTGTTGCATTTACAAGATTCTTTGTTGACTTCCACATGCATTTATTAATATCATATCCATGCCAATGAATAAGATATTTGAATTTATTTTGGCGTTGCCTTAAATCTAAGATTTCTTCTACCTTGAATTCTTGATCATTATCCACTTCTATAGGAAGAAGTGGCATTTGTCTTTTCTTTGAGATATTTATTATCTTATATGCCTCAAGAAGAGATATATGAAATATAGAATGGATCTTTAAAGACTTTAGTAGATATAATCAATAAGCAATAAGATTGATTTATTCATAAATATCAAATAATTTAAGCTTATGTTAGTCTAACTTGTTGCAAAGACGAATAGTTTTGATATTGCAATAAAATACTCATACCTTCTCATCCACATTGAATTATAGTTATTTTTTGTAATAGGCATTTACTTTGATTAATTGTCGTGTTTGATCTTCTTTTAATCCTACCTTTATTGTTGCATATAGCTTTGACAAACAATTTTCCAAATCTTCTATTACAAGATTATTAATTTTTTTAAAGTAAAAAGTATCAAATTATTGATGATAACCATAATTAATAAAGTAAGTTGTTTGTTGAGTAGAAAAATATACCAAATTATTATATGTAAATTTTGTCAATGGCAAAAGAATTTTCCAATCATCTTAATGATGGTTGATAGTACCCTTCAAATATTGCTCCAAAACTTGATTTACTTTGTTTCAAAACTTTGCTCCAATTTGAAGATAAAAAATTAAAAAAAGCTTTAAATCTACCTTTAGAATCTTCAATAGGATTCTTCAAAATCTTCATACAAATTAAGTCTCCCTATCTGATATAATATCTTTTGGCAATCTATAATAGCCATAAATATTGTTAAAAAAAAACTTAAATATTTCTTTACCTATGATAGATTTTGTACATAGTACAAAATGTGCCATCTTGATAAAACGATCTACTATCACAAATATAAAATCACATGAACTTGAATCTAAAAGATTTATAATAAAATCCATAGAAACAAAATATTATAGTTATTCTAGAATAAATAATGGCTTAAAAAGTCCATAAGGTTGATAATAAGAAATTTTGGATCTTGAATAAATATCACATGATTAAAAAAAAATCTTTTAATTATATTTCATATTTAAAGCCACCAAAAATCTCTCAATATTAGCTCCAAAATTTTATTATATCCAAAATGTGTAATTGTTGGAAAGTCATGATAAGCTTAAAGAACAAGTAATTGTACTTCACCTTGAAGATTATATAATTATCTTTCAAAATAGAATAGATTATTCTCAAACTTGAATTTAGAAATACCATAAAACTTAAAATAGTTATCTTTGATATCATGAAGAAGAGGATTAAAAGACATATTTGATTGAATTTGCTTGACAAAAGTTAAAAAAATAATCAATATTGATTTTATTGCTTGAAAATGAAAATACTTTGACTTTAAGAAAATCATTCTTTGCTAATCAAAAGCTATGTGTCTTCTTTTTAGTGCTAGATAAGAAATTTAGAAAAGACGTTTAAGAAATCTTATTATTTTTTTAGATCAATAAGTAATTTTGAAATCAAATTTTAATAATGACATGCTCTAATGAGCTTGTCAACAATTTAAAACATATGCTGACATGAAGTATCGAGGTTCTTGTGATTTGTATATATGGTGACTTGACTTGAGGAATTTTTAGATAATGATTCCATCCTTAAAATAAATCTAAAATTGTAAGAAGCTCTTTATCATGAATCTCATAATTAATCTTGACTGTTAAAATTTTCTTTAAATCAAAAGCTGGTAGATGGAGCTTATCATCTTCTTCTATTTATAATAAAATGGCACTTATAGTAAAGTTTGATATATTTTTTTCTATAAAGAATACCTTAAAAAAATTGATGCAATTCAAAATTGGTACAAAAATAAATATTTTCTTCAAGGCTTCAAGAGATGTTTCAACTTCTTTGCTCCACTTAAGTTTGTCTTTATATGTCAATGGTCTAAGAGAAGACATAACTTAAAAAAAATTCTTGATAAATATCTTATAATAACTAGCAAATCTCAAAAAATATTGCACATCTTTGACTGTTTTTGAGATCTTTCAATCCATGATAGTTTGAACCTTCTTTGAATCTATCATTAGTCCTTTGTTAAAAATGATGTACTCTAAGAAATAAACGTGAGTAGTATAGAATATATACTTTTCATATTGACATATAATCTTACATCTATAAATTTTAATAACATATGATAAATATGAAGTTCATATTCTCCTATATTCTTAGAGTAGATTAAAATGTTATCTAAATAAAAATAAAAATAAAACAATAAAATCACTAAGAAACTTGCAAAAAAATTCATTAATGAGATGTTAAAAAGTGGTTGGTGTATTTGTGAAACCAAAAGGCCAGATATTATGATTAAAATTTTCATACTTAATTTGAAAAGCAATCTTTCATACATCTCTTTTTTTAATGTAAACCAAGATATATGCTCTTTATAGATCTATTTTTATATAGATCTTTGCTTCATTGAGTTGATCAAGAAGTCTTGAAATCAAAGGTAGAAGATACATATTATTGATGGTGATCTTGTTAAATCTCCGATAATCTATGCACATCTAAATAGATCTAATTTTTTTCTTCACAAATAAGATAAAAGCTCATGCTAGAGATTTTGAATAGTGTATAAAGTTCTTAGCTAAATTCTTATTTATATATTCTTTTAGTGAAACCAACTTATTTTGTGATAAGTTATAAATTGATCTGAATGGTGGTTGAGATTCTTCTTGCAAATCAATTTATCAATGCTTTGGAAGAATATCTACATTTTTCTTTTCAAAATCTTCTTAGAAATCTTAATACTAGCTAAGATGTCACTTGACATCTTTGTACCATTAAAAATGGACATAGCATATATAACAAAAGATGACCCTTTTTTTGTCACATGCATGAAAGCTTGTGTAGCTATCAGTTTAAGATTGGGATGTATTAAATTTTTTTATTCTAACTTAACTAACAAAATTTTAGATCAAACTACAAGAAAAATTAAGATTATACGAAATCAAATCAATTTGAGGCTTATATTTTTTTAATCTTGATTATTCTAAAATAATTAATTGGAAGAAGATCTTATTAAATTAAATATTATTAAACTATTATGACCATTAATTGCTATTTCTAAGTAAAAAAGTTCATGTATAATATCTCCAAAAAATAACAAATGACCATCTATTACTTCTACATGTATAAGTTTGGTTTTTTTAATTCAAGCTATCTCTTTTTTTTTAGAATATATTTAGATTCTCTACAATATAGATACAAACCTTCTTAATGACAACAAGTTTTTTTTTTCACTTAATAAGAAGTTTAAAATATATTGTGTCAATTTATATAGGCTTTAGCCTAACCAAATAAATTTCCAAAAACTTACGAGTTGTTGTTATGGC